TTGTTCAGCAGGATTGTTAAAAAGGTTTTCACACCGTATACAAGATGTGGACATGGCCGTCACGGCGTCACCCGTTGGTCTGTGGACTACAGACTTTAGAGTTTGGTTGTTCCAATCTTGTTGTCTTGTTACTGGTGAATGGAAGTGACCATATTTGGACTGTGGAGGAGTGACAGAGACGCCTTGTGAGGCTCTGGCAGCGGTCTGGTAGCTAACTGTGAACCAGCATGTAGCCCTGCCCCAAAGGTTTAAAACAACAGTTCAGTACAAGCTACAACGGTGCAAAGCACACTGCACTAAAACAAAGAAAACTAATGATACCCCGTAGCTACCACACCCCACAGATACTGTAATCCTACACAACTACCGTACGTTTCACATATGTGGCCTCGAGCCACGCAAATCATTAGAAATCAGCTCGACTCAGGACGCTCCGGCGCCTACAGAGCTGCCTCCAGCAGAAGCAGAGCTCTAGCTCTTCACTTTGTAGCTGGTGGGTTGTAGAAGCCTCAGTGAAATCAATTCAACAAGTGAAAACATGCTTCAGTTTGGTTCAGAGCTCAGAGACGTGTGAGGGAATCTCAGTCGCCCATTTTTCTTCTTGGTTTTCCGCTCATTGTTCTTTCTTTCTTGCCGGTAACTGTGCCAACTGACAAGAATGCAGCTCTCAAGGTTATGATTTGCTTGTTGACTCCACTTTGTCCAATGTGTTTTCTGTGCGTTTTAAAACTATAAAATCCTTGAGGATATTAGTTCCGTCATCAATGAACTCTAAAGCAGCAACAAATATTGAAATAGTAATAGGATCTGTTTAAATATTTGGCAAAATATTGTATTTCCAACTTTTGTTTTTTTCTGTTGGATGAAGAAGAGATCAGCGATGTCAAGTCTGCTGGAAATCAGAGGCTCAGAGGTTCCTGAGAGCTGCTGAGACTGAGGGGCGAGTTACATATTCCATATGTCCACCATTACTCAACGTTGGCTCGCACCGACCCCTGAGGGGCCGGGCCCTCTGCAACCGGCCAAAACCAAGAGGCTGAGAGAGCGAGAAAGATGTCAGAGCACCAACAAACAGATGCTTTCCATGATGTTGTTGATGTGGTAACCCTCGGCATCAATCTTTTGTTTTTGCTAATCCAAGGTGAAGGAGACGCCGTCCATCTGCTGCGGCCAGAAGAACTGCGATCGGCCAGCTCATGAACTACCCCCCCTTTTGATCAGACCTCTGCCCGTCGGTGCCAAACACGGGTGGCAGTGACGTCACCCTATCAAGCTGAGATGGTTGGGAGGGCTGGGGCTGGTAAACTCAGCCCTCAGTAAAGTAGATGGGGTAACAGTGCTGGGTGCGATACTCTCCAAACCCCGTGATGGCCACACCAGCCCTCTATGTTGCTTCAACAAGTCGGCCATTTATCAAAACCTTCAGGTCCGGTAGGCATGCTGGCCTCAGTCAGGGAGGATGAGGTTGATCCGGGGGTAACTGAGCCTTCGACTCGGAGCTATATGAGCCAAATGCGATTCGACAAGGCCTGCAGCTCTGGGGTCAGGCTGCAGCAAGGAACATGTGTCCCCTCGGAGGCACGGCCTTGTTGCTCCCTCAGCCGGTCAAAATTCCAGAGTTTGCGCAACAAATCCTAATGAGGCTGTTCTCAGTGGGGGGGGGGCCGGGGCCCTGTCTCAGGGGATTTGTCTGCGGAGCTAAACGGCCGAGGAACGATTCAGTGAAGCTACTCAGTAGCTCTCCTGTCTCGCACACCAACACAGACTGAGGGAAGCCGGGCGGTGTTCCGTTGGAAAATCGGTACCAGATAGAGGATGATATGAGGGTGGTAGCCCACGGCAAAATATCTTTTGGTTAAGCTACCAGCAGCAGGTTAGAAAAAGTCCAAGAAAAAAGTTGGATTGTCCAAACCGGTTCAAGATTCATGTGCAGTTGGAATAACTGGAATTTGAATGCTGCAACAACAAGCAGCATTGCAATGTAGAAAAGTATCATTTTACAAAAAAACAGACCGGGATGTGTGATAATATCATTTCTGACAAGAAACCAAAAATGGGACTTTCCATCTGTGGTTGATATTTCTACTAACTGAATCGCAGTAGAAGGTAGTGAGAGGAGACGACCAGGGCGGAATAAGGGGTCCAGGTTCAAAGGCATTCCCATGTTTCTGCACCTTTGGGGTCAGTCCACCTGAACCACATTAATTCAGTTTCCCTTTCCGTGCCTCTTCCTTTACCTCAGGAAGGGCTGAGGGTAACGCTTTGTAGCACAGCTCAGTTTGAAAGTCACATTGCCGTATAACACAGTGACAACTGAGCCTACAACTTCATTTTTCTCTTCAAAAGGGGGGGGGGGGGGGTACTAATACGCAACACCTGTTCCTGGTGGGCATCCATCAGTATATCACATTTACAAACAGTGACAGCTGTGGTGCAGGCAGTGATAGAGGCAGGCTCTGGGCCCGCCTGATGCAAAACACAGAGACCTGTGGGGGGTCGGGGGGGGGTCCGTAGTGGCCAGATCCTGTAATATTCCACATATGCTTTCGGGGGATCGCACAGGCGCCATCAGCGCCTTTAATCTAAGGCCCGGGAACCAAAAGTGAAAGGGCCCATCGGGCCGCCTGCTTTCAATTACGAGCTCCGTGAGAGACACCGATATGGAGATGAGATGGATGGCATGCCGGGATCGGACCCCGGGATCGCCACAAGCTTGCCTGTGGCGTGTGCCAGGGGCACACATGAGAAATAAGTCCAGCTACAATCAAAGCACGGACTTATTAGAAGGATCTGGCTCCAGCGGTCGGGATTTGGTTGACTGAATACCTGGGCGGCTTTGCAAACACCATGTTGATGAGATCATCAGTACTGAACTGACAAAAGCACTTGGACATCGTCCAGCTGAGGCTGATGGGAATAAAACAAGAAAATGGGTAAAAAGGGACTTAGAGGGCTCACTGAATATTCGGAGGGGGACACGAATGCGCCCACCAACGTCACAGCAATCCATCAAGTGTTTGACGACCTCATTGAAAAGCTACAGGAAGCAGTCAGAGGGATCAGTGAGGTCTTTGTCCAGAAACAATCAGTGTCTGTGCTCAATGTTGTAATGGAGCAGGTCGGTGTGTACAAATACAACATCAGCCATCAAAATAGCTTTAGAAAACAACAACAACTCGATTCTCGTTTTAGATTTTATGAAACTGTATTCACTCGTTTGTCCTCTCCCCCTCGCGCAAGAGCAACCTACTCTGGCTTGTGCGTTTATCAGAACGCTGCGTGTTTATCCTTCATTTAAGAGCCGGACAAGCTGCGCTGAAGTGCAGTGGGCTTCTAATAGTACAATAAAATGCAGATGAATATGTGGGGCTGGTTAGAAAGAATCATGATGCATTGATAATCTAATAGTACAGAAGTGCTCTTACTAACGGATTTCACATAGCAGAAAAACAATCAGGTCTGTGTCGTTTAAAATAACAAGTATTGGGATTGACTGCAGCCTCCGTGTGTGACGGATAAGCGGTTTGAAGACGGATGCATAGTAGATACATTAATCTAAATTATTCTACATTAACAGCAGTTTTTCACATCTACTTGACAATCTGTCATTGTTGATATGGACAATCTAATTCCAAAGGACGTTCTCTCTTTAACAGTCCTCAAACAAAAAGACAAACAGTTTGAAATTTGAGCCCCGGGTTGGATTTGATCCCCACTGAAGGCGGTGAGACAGCAGATAAGGAGAGTCTTTGTCTCTCCGGAGCTTGGACAACATCTCACTCGTTCCCTCAGAAATCTACTGTGGATCTGGACAGGCCGTCTGTCAGCATCACACGACTATGTGGCAGGATGAAGTCTGGACAAAAGACAGACCGAGATTAGATGCGCCGGTGCCACGGGGGACACGAGCGTCTCCAGCCCTCGGCTCAACGTGAAAGAATGCAGCGCAAAAGTTTGAATTATGGACGGCAAGTGTGCATTCGTGTCTCCGCGGGCAGACGACAGACTGCAGTCCGATGAAACCCTGCGCCGCCTGATGAGGAGAAACACAAAACAATAAGCTCGGGATAAAGGACGAATCCCAAAACCAACAACTGCACATCGGCAGCAGCACCAGAGGGCGCCGGGGGGAATTGGGTCCTCCAGTTCCAGGCCATGGATACGGTAGTTGTGCCTTACACACAGGTCCACCAACAGAGACCCTTCATTCCAGCTGCAGGTGAAACAGAGAAAAGTCGTTCGTAGCGCTGGTGCATCGCCTCACTTCCCTTTACCCACGTGGGGAGATTCCCCTGCACTAAAAGCCAAGGGTTACAGGGAAAAGGTTGCTGCACGTTACCAACAGATGGACAGAAGAGGACTGACACACATGGGGTCCACTGGCGCTGGACGCCGCCACCAGCAGAAGAATATAAGCGTCCAACATCAATGCCCTGGATCCTGGCTCGGGGGCAACGTTTGCTGAATGCACAGAGACGGATTTAGACACGAGACGGCCGGCTTACAGCAGGACGCTGCCGGGGGACAAGTTGCCCAGATGGAGATGGGCCAAAACTGAGACGGCAAGCAGCTGTTCAAAGCCAGCTGTCCGGAGGCCAGTTGTTCATAAAGACGGAGAGGCCGAGGTGGAGGGATTCAGAGACCTTTAGGAAGGGGGGTGGGACTGGGTGACAGCGAGGGGAAGCGGGCTGAGGGTCATTTCTGAGGCACACATTTATCTGGAATCAGGAGGCTTTGTCTTCAAACAGATGCTTTGAGTTACTTACGGCTTATTCTTTTTGTTAAAGCAACACACAACAGAGCTGAAACAACGTGAGGAGAATTGTCACACTGATGCTGTTTATAACACATGATGCTGACATTGTGTTCCATCCGAGGCCTCCGATTTACATTCAATTGGTCCCGCACACAACACGCTACACGTTAGTCATTAGTGCTCACGGTTGCTTAACGCTGGAGACACGCAGAGATGTGCTAAACAGAACAGTGGATCTACGTACCTCACCGTGGTTATTAGAGCAGTAAGAAGACGACTGGTGCTTCTCTCCTCCAGCTGGAATAGAGAAGAACAATAATTCAACATGATAAGTAAATAATTATACATCCAGACATACCGATGGGTCATTCCAAATTGAGCATGAAATGCAAATCAGTCATATTTCTCAGAAAATCGGATCGCTTAAATCAAAATAAGGATATGACGTTGCGTTCACTTGGGAATGACACCCGGATGCCCTTTGGTTCAGTGTGGACTACTGGGCTGATGTTAGCGATTATTAAGTGCAACACTTCCCCCTATTGGACTTTTTCTGAATCGTACAAAGAACCACCAGAGCGTCCCAGAGAAGGTAGACGCATGGAACCATGGGAAAACATTTATTCACCACTACGCGTCTCTGGAAATCAGCAGCACGGTGTCGTTAAAGTACGCTGACGCTTACAGCACGTTTCACTAATGTTTGCCATCTTAATGCTGAATCAGTGACGTGTAACAGCGGCTGACGGTCAGAAGACTCGTCTAGCGCTTCCACTTGTTGAGCCAGACGAGTCTCTCAAAGCGCTTTAACCACACGTGAGCATTCAAACTCATTCATATGCTGACGACAGGTTCAACAAGCCAGCCGACGTTCATCCAACGAGCCGGACGGGCGTCTTGGACCAGCGTACAGCCAGAGATCGACCCGTCGATCCTCTGATCGCCATTATATACAACTATCCACTGACCGATTAATGGAGAAAGTAATCAACAGATGAGAAGTACAATAATCCTCAGTTGTTGTCTGGACGTCCCACGGACATCTTGAAGACAAGAACCAGGAGCATGCTCTGCTACTGTGCCGCCAACGCTCGTACGAATATCCTGACCTCAAACGCTCGGACCTTCTCATTCGATGGGGTTTCTTTCATTTTAATTACATTGTGTTAAAACAGAATATGTTCTATATTCTATGTACTTAAGTAGCCACCTTTTTGTGATTTCTTCACACTCATTCTTTGAACCGGCTTCACGAGGTGGTGACCTGCAATGGTTTCCATCAACAGGTGCGCCTTGTCCAGAGTTCATTTGTGGGATTTATGTTTGAGGCCATCAGTTGTGCTCAGTCCTGTAGGAGAAGACGTCTATTCCACCACCGTTCTAATCCAAACTGTGGCAAGAAACTGTCAATTAAGTAAAGAGAAGCGACGGCCCATCGTTTCTTTAAGAGGGAAGGTCAGTCCACCTGGAGGCCCCTGCAGGGCCCCAGCAGGGGCCCTGCAGGGGGGCTCGGCACCGTAGCGCAGCCTGGAGGGCGTCGCTGCACAGCCCTTCACCCCCGCGTGCTGCTCGTGAACATGGTTTCCGGGCAGTGACCCGTCCTCGTGTCCACCAGGGTGACGTAATCACCACGGCTTCGGCCTTTTAACGTCACGTCAAAGCCGCGTAGACCCGTTCACCCGAGCTAGCGGTCCCGGGTCGTCCACGTCACCGCAGCGAACTACGAGAAACGACGTTTCGCCAACACGGGGGGCGCCAGACGCCGGACACAACGCTGCGTCCGAAGGAGGCGGAACTGAACGGGGCCGAGCGACCGGCGGCGACCGGCGGCTACCGGCGGCTAGCTTGAGTTGGCGTTAGCCTGCTAGCCACCGGCGGCGAGCCTCGCTCACCAAAACAGCTGGCTGAGCCGCGGCGGCTCCGCGGGTTCGTTCAGCGAGCAAGCCGCATACTCACACGCAAACCCGCCGGGCCGGAAGCGGGACGCGGGAGCGGAGGGGGAGCTGTGCGGGTCCCCCGGACGCGAGTTGTTTTGCTTTGGCCGGATGCTGATGAATACACAACCCGAGCATCAGCCCATGTCGGCTGGGCAGCTGCGAACCGGGAGTTCGCGGCCGTGTCTCAATCCAGCGGCTGTGTCCTCCGGAGGCTGCTCATCCTTCCCAGACCGATTGCGTCACCGCGGCCGCGACGCATTCAGGCGACTCCTTCAAATGCAGCCGGAGAATGAGGACTCCGAGTCCCAATAACGGACGCATTTAATGTCGTTCCAAAGCACAATACACATCGGGCTCTTCGTTGTTATTATCCTCATGCCGCATTAATGCCTCACACAAGCTTGAGGTTGAACACTGCTCGTGGCGGTTGTATAGATAATAATATTATTAAAAGAAAGGGATCCAAGTGGCACAAGTTGTGAACCTGAAGGATCACTTTCTTGGTACAGAAATGTTACAAACTCTGAAATTAAATACATAAAGATACAAATACATAAAGAAACTCTACTTGGTTGCGTTCCTTTGTTTTGAAATGTCATTGAAAAATGTATTAATTTTGTTTTTCAGCTCTTGGGAGAATTTTGCAATATCTGCACTTACAGAGCAGCTCTTATTATGCGAGACAAAATGCAGCGCTGGTGCATGTGTGTTACTAGAATTTAATAAACGTGTTTGCTGACATTTATTTTGTAGCTGTGGTCGGCCCCCGTAGACCACGAAGGCTTAGTCCTCCGAAGGATGTAGCCGCTGAAATGAGACACAGCTCTTCTCCGGAGGGTTTCTGGTGAACCGTAGGAAACTTGAGGGCAGCAGAAGGAAACCATGTGCCCGAGCTTCTTACATAATGTCCATGTAGTATACTTTAACATTCACCTAGTACTTTCTCATTGCTGCCTATACCCGTATTATATTTACAGTATTATGAGTATTATAAGTGGTTTGTATAGATTAGTAAAAAATAAGAACAAAGTAAGAACAAGAACAATATTAAGTATTAAAAGAACTGCACATGCAGCCAAATTAGTGGTACTTTAACTATGGGAAAAACATTCCTAAAATGTTTTTTTGTCATATGGTATTTTCCAATTATTCTTATTTCTTTTAAAAATTGTTTTTTTTTAAGTGGAATGGATGTAAGCAACACATAACAACTACAAGCCATTGAGATGTTTGTTGGTTTCCTCTGCAGTTCAAACGAGCATAACAGTGCATGAGGATCAACTCAAAAACACTTCTGTAAGAATACGTGTTCAAGATTTGGAGCCTGGTCGGGTCATCAAGAATTCAGCCGAACGACTTCTCTCGTTCTGGGAGATTTATTTGTCAGATCACAGGTCAAGTATCAGCGCTGCGTTTGCAAAGGCAGGAGCAGTTCAGGCAGCACACAGGCCGGAGGAACAACTAACTAACATCAGCAAGAACATCATGTTTTATAACCCTTGAAAGACGGAGAAGGAAAGATTTCTATTGGCCCTAAACTGGCGTAGAGGAGGACCTTCCACCTCCCGCATCTAAGATCCGGTCACATCCGATGTCCAGACTCCTGACTTAACGTAAACATCGTAAACAGAGTGTGTATGTTGAATAGTGTTGGTGTGTCTCTAACCCCCCTTTGGCTGGTAAATCTTCTAGTTGACCCGCAGACCTTACATTCCTCAGCCAGGACATAAACTGACTCCCCATCCTGTCAGACTCGTGTCTGCCTGCTCGGCACATCCTGCGTCCCCCCCGTTACCTAACTCTTAAATCAAGACTAGACAGCGACCCCCCAACTAAGCCCATGAAAAGAACTTTTGATTATCACTTCTCACACAAGCTTTGGCCTAAAGAACAATTCACATTTCTCCAACAATTCATGCCTTGTTCAGGTTATGTTCCATAGCTGAATTATTACACAGGCATAAGAACTATTTCCACCATCAACGGTGAAATAGTTTCACTTAAGTGAAAGAGAGTAGAATTAATGAAAGAATTCATTAAAAGGAATTCTAATGCACAACTGTTCAGTTTGAGTTTTATGTTTGAAGATGCTATAAAATCCAGTAATTATATAGAATCATCAGTGGTGTTTCTGAATAAAGAATACAGAGTTGTGAGTGTGTGGATAATAATTCAAGGCTTTCCAAACTGACCTGATGTGCTTCTCCACACTGATCAAACTGTTTGCCTCAAAAGTGAGTGTTTCTAATCCTTTGGGCACATGTAGGAATCTGGAATCCCCCCCACAGCCCAGAGTCCGGCTCTGGGGATCAGGTAGATTGGTGACTAAGTTGCCCGTAGGTGTGTGGATGTGAGTGTGAATGGTGTTTTGTCTCTGTGTAGAGTCTCAGTCCAGGGTGAACCCCGTCTGTGAAGATGGATGGAGATCACCATGAAACTACAGCTGATTGTTAACATTAAAACAATGATCGTTCCATTAGTTACTTTCAATGTGCAAATGAGGCAATATCTATACCTTTTTAGGAGAAATCCAAAGAGTCAAATAGACAAAGAAGTCTAAGACAGCAGTATAAGACTTTTTAAAAGAAGTAAAAGAAGCAAAAGCCCAAATTCTTAAACTGACCAGTGCTTGAAAAACATGTTTTTCTCCCCTTCTTGATGACATCGTGATCCTGTGAAATACGGGATGTTTTTGGTCATTGGTTTACACATTGGGGACAGAGTTTTAATTCTTGTCACGTAAAAAAGGTCCACAATGAAAAATGTGTAAAATAAATGAAATGTCCTTGTCCTTGGTACTGCAAAGAGCCAGAACTAGTGTCCCATATTTGGGAAATTTCTGACTGTTCCTAATGCTCGGTCTATGTGGCTGCCCGGGAGGCCCAGGAGGTCCGGGTGGCCCAGGATGCCCAGGAGGTCCAGGAGGCCCAGGAGGTCCGGGTGGCCCAGGATGCCCAGGAGGTCCAGGAGGCCCAGGAGGTCCGGGAGGTCCGGGTGGCCCCCGAGGGGACCGCGCGCTGCGTTGGCGCCTTGACGCCGCATCGCGGAGCCTTCGGCCGCGTCGCGCCTCGTTTCGGGGACTTGTAGTTCTTAGTGCGCAGCAGGCGGACGCGCAGCGCGAGAGCAGGACTACAGTTCCCGCGCGGCTGCTGGGAGGCGCTGGTTGTCAACATGGCTGTTGTCACACAGACAAAGCGCCGGGGCGAATGATTCGCTAGTGACGGACATCCTCGCGTAGGGGTCGGACGGGGCGCCGCAGCCGCACCGCGTTCTTGTTCGGCCGCAGTGAAAGACGCCGCACGGCGACGACTTCGCAAGTTGCCAAAGTTAAATGGTTCCCTTGACGATTTGAAGCGAGGTAAGTCGTGTTCTCACACGCAGACGACGGCGACGTTGTTGATATCGAACGCCCGCTAGCCAGCGGCGGCTACCGCCTGCTAGCTTCCGCGCTGGCAGGGCTAGCACGCAATGCTAACCGCTCCGCAGCGCGAGCCTCCCTCGCTAGCATGTGCTAGCCTCGCTAGCAGCGTGTCGGTGTGCGCTCGGCGCTCTGGGACGTGACCCGCATCGGGGCGGGTCGCGGAGGGGTTGCGAGCCGGCGGGTGTAACGGTGCGCGGGGCACTGCCCGCCCGTCACGGATTCGCGTGCTAACGCCGCTAGCTCCCGGGCGACAGGGCGTGGGAGCGGGCGCCCGCCCGGTGGTCTCTCCCGGTGCGGGGACGAGCGACGGATCCCCGCGAAACGAAAGCGCACGGAGGGGGGGGGGGTCCCGCAGAGGATGGTCGGTGCTGGGACCCGTTAGCGAGCCTGACACCGGGGGCGTCCCATGCACGCGCCCGGTGACGAGGCACTGTGCACGACGACGAACCCGGCGGGGTCCGCCGCTCTGCAGCGTCTCCTCTTCTCTGCTGTGAGTTCTGGGACTTGTTTGCACCGTCATCACGTGGAAGATCCAACCCGTTAGTTGGTGCATCACCTGCCAAACGCGTGTCTCGTGATTAGAGAGCAGAAGCGGGGTCACCGTGCGGGGTTGCGTCATGTGACCCGCAGCTACGAAAACACCGTAAATATACATTTAACTTAGTGAATGCGTGAGCGTGGATGCTGATCACTTCAGGTGCTCACGGTCACTCTGAAAGAAGCTGATCCTTCAGGCTGCTGAGGTCAGTGTGTATCTGTGTGTGTGTGTGTGTGTGTTGTTGTCCCCCCCCCCCTCTTGGTGTCACTGGTTTTTGACATGACTTACTGAGTTAATATCCTCAGGATGTAGTCAATGTTCTCCGGTGGCGCTCAGCAGAAGTGAGAAGTGTATTCCAGTGACTCTCCTCTCTGGGTGGATGTGAAGCGTTGCAGATTGTTAACACTGAGCTTTGAAAATGAAAACAAACACAAACACACGCACACACACACACGCACACACGCGTTGTCTCTGGTCTGACGCAGAGGAGAAACGCCGGTGACCCTTTTATAGCGTCCATCATATCCGCGCCGGTCGCGGCTGCCACAGAAGATAAACAAAATATCTGCCGCAGTCTCGCTTCCAGCGGCATTGATTGTGCGCGCAGCAAAGTGCTTGTGAAGAGCACAACGCGTGGGAGGCGCCGGGCCGCGAGATGTCGCGGCGCTTAAAGAACGGCAGTCAGAACGTTAAGATAGCATCAGCTGTCAAGGTGACTCTGCGCGCGCTCCCAAAAATAGCAGATTTCATGGCCCCTCCCTGCCTCCTCTTGCTCTCGCGCTCTTATCTCGCGCTCCTGTCTCCGCTTTTCTTATTTGCTGCCTCTTTATTTCCTTCTCTTCGTACTCTGCCTCGCTCCTCTTCCTCCCGTCGCACCACTTCCCGTCTGCTGCGTTTCCTTTCCGCTCTTTTCCCACTTCGTCCTCTCGCTTCGTCCGCCTGACCTCTCATCTCCATTCCTCTTCTGTCCTTAACTTCTCCCGTGTCCTCCCTCCCTGTCCCCCGGCTTGTCTCCCCCGACCCGTCTGTCTCGTCTCTCCTCCGGCAGCAGGATGTCTGAGTTCAGCGAGGAGCCGCGCTTCACCATCGAGCAGATCGATCTGCTGCAGCGGCTCCGGCGCAGCGGCATGAGCAAGCCGGAGATCCTGCACGCGCTCGACACGCTGGACCGGCTGGACCGGGAGCACGGCGACAAGTTCGGCCGCCGCACCTCCTCCTCCTCCTCTTCCTCGTCCTGCTATGGAGTAGGCGGAGCGAACGGTTGCGCCAACAGCTCCGCCTCCAACGCCAACAACAGCAACGCTGCCTTGGCGGCGCCCGCCGCCTCCAGCTCCTCCGCGGCGTGCAACGGAGGCGAGGGCGCTGCCGGCGATCGCTCGGCGGCAGCCACGTCCTCCACCACGCCCAAAATCTCCACCTCCACACAGACGCAGTTCGGTCGGGAAGGCGGGCTCTCGCCGTCGCCCAGCAACAGTTACGACACCTCCCCGCCTCCAGGCCCGCCGCCGCCGTCCGCCGCCCTGTCCTCCCCGGTGTCGCTGGTGGCCCTGTCGCAGAACGGTCGGGACAGCCTGGCCGCCACGCCCAACGGGAAGCTGTCTCCGCCCAGGTACCCGGTGAACAGCGCGGCGGCAGCGCGGGCGTTCGGGTTCGAGGCCGCGGAGGAGGACCTGGACATCGACGACAAGGTGGAGGAGCTGATGAGGTCAGTGGTCGCGGAGGTGAAGCAGGCTCCACCCTCGTTGCCCTTGGAAAGACGCAACGTGGTGGACGTGTGGCGTGTGATGGTCCATTGTGTTATTGGGACACGTGTGTTTAGTCATAGGTAGAAGTAGAGTTAGTTCCTGAGCGTTGGATGAGATCACATGATCCCCATCAGGCGCCGGTACTGAGGAGGAGGAGGAGGAGGAGGAACCGAGAATCACTTCTTCACAGGCTGCGCCTCCAAAGCGAGGAACAGATTAACAGGCGTTCAGAAATGGCGCTTCAACCATCCACGGTGCCCTGCAGTGTCTCTGTGGGGGGTCGACTCGCCCCCTCCCTCCTCCTCCTCCTCCTCAGGCACGTACAGCAGCTTGAGCTCCATCGATTCAGTGGGTGTCGAGCAGCGTCTCTCCGCTCTAAGTTTAGCAGCAAGCTGCTGTGGAGGATATCGGTGTCTGGGAGTCGTGACGCGTCGCCGCGTGACGCCACAGCGCGCCGTGAGCTCAGTGTTCACATGTTCACTCAAACCTCCTGCGCTCTCTGTCCGCCTCCGGGTATTGTGCGAGCGTGCACGTGCGTCTGTGGCCATCGCGAGCGTGAGCGCCCCCCCCCCCCCCGTGCGCAGACATCGGTGAATAATTGTAAACGTTAACCCCCTAATTGGATGGGAGGGGAAAGTCTTCCACTTAAAGGGTTACTATATTAGCATTAGCCTAGCGTAGCATTCACTGTACATTCAATGTAATGGAGCCAAAGTTCTTCTACGTTTCACATCTGGCATTTGAGCTGGTGCACGTGAGGCCACGTCTCCCCCCTGAGCGTGCACGCAGCAGTGAGCGCCATGATAAGCATGTATCCTGGTATACTGGTTGACACGTGATGTGAAGGGATCGACCCGTCACGCCGCCGCTGAAGATGCACCTGCTGCTGGACGCCTGCCCATGCATGACCCTCGGCGCCGTGCTCTGTGTTGTTTGTGTGTCTGCAGGAGGGACAGCAGCCTGGTGAAGGAGGAGATCAAGGCGTTCCTGGGGAACAGGAGGATCTCTCAGGCCGTGGTGGCACAAGTCACCGGTCAGTAGCAGCACGTTTGTTTGCTCCTCTAAGCAGTGCAGAGAAGGTCCGCTGGGGCGGCTCCTTTAAAAGGGAGGATGTCCTCTCATAACGGGGACACCTACTCTTTAAGGGAGAGTGAATCTCACCTCTTATCTACGTACATTTATATAAATATACCATTTCAGACCCTAAATTAATTTGTTTGTGCAGCTCAAGGCTAAAGCTAAAGTGGTTGTGCCTCTGACAGAGTTTTTAGGGTGAAATGTGTTCAGAGGTATAACCTGTAGAGCCATGGACACAGACCATGTATAAATATATAAATATATATATACCATGATGTATCGGGCTGCTGTATAAACCTCTGATGTCCGGCTGCTTTCCAGGCATTAGCCAGAGCCGCATCTCCCACTGGCTGCTGCAGCACGGCTCCGACCTGAGCGAGCAGAAGAAGAGGGCCTTCTACCGCTGGTACACGCTGGAGAAGACCACGCCAGGTACCTGCTCCTCTCAATGCTCACCAGCCGGGGGAAACGGAACACTCCTCTACTTTCCCTCTCGGTTTGGGGCGGCGCCTCGTCAGCGCCATCTCGGGCTTTTGCCGCTTTGTTTAGTCGCCGCGGGCGCCTCCCAGAGTTGACTCCTCCTACCGTCTTCACCTGTAATCCGCTGCTGCTTCCAGGTGCCACTCTGAACATGCGGCCGGCTCCGTTGCCTCTGGAGGAAATGGAGTGGAGGCAGACGCCGCCCCCCGTCACCACCGCGCCCGGGACCTTCCGGCTGCGTCGCGGAAGTCGCTTCACGTGGAGGAAAGAGTGTCTGGCAGTGATGGAGAGGTGAGCGGAGGAGCCGTCTCATAACTTATTTCCACATGGAGTTGAGAGGAAACAGTCTGGACATCCAGCCGGGCTGGAGGACGTGCTCATAATAACCTCACGCCTTGACATTGCTTGTAAACAGCTTCAGCTTCAGCGAAATTGATTAAAACAGTTTTATTCTTAGCTACTTCAACGACAACCAGTACCCAGACGAGGCCAAACGGGAGGAGATCGCCAACGCCTGCAACGCCGTCATCCAGAAGCCAGGTGAGCCCCACAGGGGGGTGTGGTCACACTTAAACATCTGTTCTGTGCTCCTCATGAGCTGGAATAGGAAGTTCTATGATCTAACCATCGCGTTGGACAAAATAACAGTTTAACAAAATAACAAAGTGTGATTTGTTTCAGGGAAGAAGCTGTCGGATCTGGAGCGCGTGACGTCCCTGAAGGTTTACAACTGGTTCGCCAACCGCCGCAAAGAGATCAAGAGACGCGCCAACATTGGTAATGTGTCTGTCTGTTTGATGGAATTAAGCATTCGTAGCGCTCGTTAGCTGATTAGCTCTGTGGTTATTAATTGGTCCATTTTCACCTGCACTGACCTGCAGGCTGCGGCGCCACGGCACGCTGCTGTTAGTCTGTGCTAACATGCTAACATGCTAATCTGCATTCTGCTACAGCCTCCTCAGCCCGGTAGCATTTTAAGATAATCCATTTCTTTTAGGGAACTATTTCAATGTAGCTAAATATTTAATCCTCATGTGTAAGTTTAGTTAGCTGTTGATCCTTTACCTTTATGTTACTTTAGGCCAACTAATGCTGCTGTTTGTCCATTAGAGCGGCTAACTACTCAAACCAGCAGCATGTCTTCATGCAGTGATCCTTTAAGGTGCACCTGCTATCGGTGTGTGTTGTCTACTTGTGGTGCCACGAGTGTCCTGTGGGACTAATAAAGGATCATCGTATTCAATAAAAACCAACTTTCCTCGCACATCGGCGTGTAACCACAGTGAATCTAACAATCCTTCCTCTTCCTCCAAGAAGCCACAATCCTGGAGAGTCACGGGATCGACGTGCAGAGTCCCGGGGGACACTCCAACAGCGACGACATCGACGGGAACGACTTCTCAGAGCAGGTAGGGACCCTGACGGGGGGGGGCGAGGTCCTCCTCCTCCATCGTGATGTTTCATGTGGAGCTTTTATTTCCTGCAGGCATGCGACCTGCCCTACTTTGACAAGAGGCCTCTCAGTCGACCTTTTGGCCTCTACCGCCTGGAGCCCACCTCGCCCACCCAGGTACAGATCAGCGTTAGAAGCAAGGCGCTGCGTGTTATTTACAACCCAATATGTGCAGTGAACATTTACTGATTCTTCTCCTCCGATATGTGAGGAGTTCGAATAGCAACATCTTATACTTTCTGCCCACGAGGAATCATTTAAAAACTGTCTCCTTGTATCCTGGCTGCTAGCACCTCTAAAGCCTTTCACACGACACAACGTGTTGGATAGTGAACGTTTGACCAGAGCCATGCTTTCCATTTTCAGTTTCTATGCTAAGCTAACGGTTGATCCTTGAATCAATCAATGTGTTGCTGCATCTCTGGTAATAATGTGGTTTACAATGACGGCTGCCACCAGCTCTTTTTGTCCAGCGCGTCTGATTTTAGACGGCAGCAGACACGTTGGTCACCAGGAACTCTGCGTTTTAATAGCTGATGACAACTTAAAAACACCGAGAGGCCGTTTGAAGGTGATTCTATGAGTCAGACGAGCAGACACGGCTTACAGGGGACAGGTCAACATCTCAGGAGACAAGGAGACGCTCATTGTTCAGCTTCCCGTAGTGTCGACTTTCCCCAACAAAGACGTTACAGCTGATCCAGGACCAGCTCCAACAGGCCGAACGGCTACTAGCCACAGATGCTAACGCTGATAGCTTCCCGACACCTTGGCTCCTGTAAAGGAACTCACCCACCTTCCCTCTCTCCCCGCCCCAGGACGACAGCGCGGCGCACAGCGAGCACCAGGACCCCATCTCTCTGGCAGTGGAGATGGCCGCCGTCAACCACACCATCCTGGCCCTGTCCAGGACCGGGGGGGTCCCCAACGACATCAAGACCGAGTCCCTGGAAGACGAATGAAATGGGGAGGAGAGCGAGAGCCGAGGAAAGAAACTGAAGTGATGCTACTTAGTAAACCGTGCTAATCGTCCTTCCCTCCTCCACCCGCAACGTCCAGGTAAACCTCTGATGTCCACGGCATACACTCCTCACAGGATACCTCTTCTCCCCCCGTCCAGCCTGAGCCCCCCCTCCGTCTCACCTCACGGTGTGAACCATATATATATAATATATATATATATGGTTCTGAGTCACACGCGACCTACGATCCCCTGAAGATTGAGCCTTTTTCTTTGTGCAGTCAGGCGAGTTTTCCTTCCCTTCCTCTCTGGACGGATCATCAGAAGCTTCTTGTTTCCTGCTGTTGGATGAAAAGCTCCATGCAGAAGAAGCCTTAGACCTTCGAGGCCGGCCTTAACAACTGCACCTTTTACGCTGTTGCAGTATATAGCAGGTTTCCCACTTTTATTTTCTCTCCCTGACAACAAGAGACTTTTCAGTACGCATAACTAAAAGGAGTCTGAGGTTTATATCCAACAGCAGCAGTGCTTCCTCTCCGCTGTTTTTTAGCCTGGATTTACTCCTGTTGCTCCGTATTCTGGGGACACAATTGTTGTTCTGTACTCGAGGCTACGAAGAATCAAATTGAGGGTCAATGTGATAATCCGGCTCTAATTGGGGGACGTGCGTTTGTTTTTAAATGTCATCCATGCCAAAGGAAAAGATGCTCTGAGCTGTTCCTCGCGCACGGCGCCGCTGTGGTACTAACGGCGTGCCGATGAGGTGCCCTGAAGCTACTCGTTCTGTGATGCTGCCTCTCTACGGAGCATCAAATGTGCTTTTTTTAAATGTCGGTGGTATTAAAGTAGACTAAATCCACACCGGAAGTCTTGAGACTTCCTGCTTTTTATTTAATCCGTATAACCTCAAAGGTAAAAGCTCTGCTTGAAGGGAATCAAAGACATTTAACTTTGCAATATTAAGTGGTTACGTTTTTATTTTGGCCCGGCTGGAACTTTTCCCAAATCATCTTTGACCAGACGTTAAAATGAAGCTTGAACCGCCAGACAGTTAGCTTAGCTTAGCCAAATGTTCCTCTGAAGCTTCCCAATTAACCTTTTATGTTTCGTCTACTTGAAGCCATACAAAGAATGAAGTTTAGAAAATGAGTTTTGTTTTTCCCAAAACGTTGTGCGCTTAAACCATTTTCTTCGCCCCGTTTTTCTACTTGTACAGATGATCTGTCACGTTAATTAGTGAAGCTTTAGTTGAAAGGACCGCGCTAGGCTAGCCGCAAAGCTAACTGTCTCCTCCCTGTAACCTGCCGCTCTAAAGGGAACATCTGCCTTGGACACGTCTTCATGAGACGGAAGAGGGACTCTTCAATCTACTGCGTCTGTCAAAGATAAAAACATGTATTTATGCTTTAATGGTAATGTACAAAAAATGAATGACATTTGTTTTATTGTTAAATGAATCGTGCTTTTTAATTTCTCCTGACTTGTTGTCCTCGTGCGTGTGTCTTATTTGACCGAACGTCAGTGAAATAAGAAGAAAACACTTTGTGAAAGATGATGCACCTTATTTAGAATCGCTGTTGACAAAGTTCAAACTCCATGATTTATTACTACAGGCCTAAAGTTACTCGGGCTGCGGTACGAGCCGGTACGCCAGGAGAAGACGTCCCTGCAGAATGTTTAAAGAGTGGAAGCGGCGTGTGAGCGAGGCCGTACCCAGCATGCAGTTCTCATTGCTCTCTAATCAAACGTGTTTATTTATGAACTGTAAAAAAGACGCAAACCTCTTTTCCCTCTGGAGTTTGGTGTGACCCCCCCGGTGCAAACGCCATCATTTCCTCCCAAATAGCTCAGCGAGGACGGATGATGCTGCTGCATCTCTAATCTACTTAAGTTCAAAGTTACTGTATTTCCCATTTCACAATTTAGTGCCTTTTTTGGACAGTAGACTGTTCTGTAATTAAGATGTAGTATATAAACATTTTTTGTACAGTTTCTTTGTTCATTTTTTTAACTTGTGTTTATTTTAGTATGATATATAAATGCATATATAGCTATGTGTATATATATGATGTACAAGAGAATAAAGCTATATCAATGAGACTGTTCATTAGTCTTTACTCCACAAAGGTTGATCACAGTCGAATGAAATTTTACAATATAAAAGGTGATTTTTCTTTTCGACATCTGGAAATAAATAAGCAATCCGATTTAGTATAAAATTGATTATTTGACAATCACCACACCCTATTATTCCAAAGTCGTGAAAAACATTATTCCCCTTAAAAATGAGTCGCTTATCAATTGTAATACGTTGATTAAAACTTCAGTAGAATGTCAGAAAAGTGAGTGCAACTTTTTTTTTTCCTAAAACAGACGATTTACACAGAAAGGAAACAAAACAAGCTCAAATAAAACCGATCAACCCGCCGACAGCAGGTCGGGTCCATCAAGGCACGACGGCTGAGTAGAACTTAATATAAACATCTCACACGCGTTGTAGCTTAGCTTAGCATTCCTTAGCCTGGCAAGTTGAAGTCACTGAGAAGAGGGTGATCTTTGCATCGATGAACAGGTGAAATGGATCCCTGACTAGACGGCGCCGTGTTTCGCTCCGTCCGGGTTCGACACATCGCGAGCCGCTCAGTTGTTCCACGACTTGCGGTTCTCTCTTTTGTGGCGGCCGCTCGCTGCCCCTTCGCCTTTGGCCAGAGCGGTGAGGGCTGCCAGGTTGGGGCTGGATCCAGACAGGTCGGCGCTGAAGCGCTTCTGCTGTTGGCGGCGGCGCTTCCCGGCGGCCCGGCTCACCCTGTCCGGCCTCACCAGCACGCCGTAACCGGGGTTACAGTGGAAGTAGTGCTTGCCTCCCACTGAACCGTCGTTCTTCCCTGAACAAGAGACACAGGAAGGTACGTTTTAAATTCGGAGAGTCGGACGCATCAAAAAGCGACAGGATTGGGCGGCGCTCTGCTCACCTGCTGGTACCTCCAGCTCCACACCGACCCAGAGCCCTTCGGCAAAGTCCGCGGGGCCGACGTACCGGACGGTGCCGCTCTTGTTGTTCCCCACGGTCACAAACTCCCCTTCTTTCAGCCAGTCGGGAAGAACGGCCAGAGCATCTCCTTCCTCAGAGTCGGAGACCATTTCCAGGCTTTCCATCGGCGCCGAGAGGCTGAGGCTGCCGGCCCGGTGCACCGGAGCCGCCTTTCCCTCCTCCCCATCGGCCACCACACGCTGGAAGGACTGGAGGTCCGAAGACTTCACTTTGTGGATCTTGAAGGGGTTCGCTAGCGGGGCTGTGAGGGCTTTCTCTGACGCACCGGCAGGTGTCTCTTCTTCGGTGGTGCCACTTGGGTTTGAGGCTCGCTCTTTGGACGACGGGAGACGAGCCAACTCTTCAGAAGGGACGGGCACTGGAACCAAGGCTGCAGACACATCTGGGACCAGATGTGGAGCCGGGTCTTCGGGTCTTTGGTCTAGTTTGAGCTGCTGTGGGACGACTTGACCTTCAGCAAGCGGTCCAGATTCCGTCTCCTCTGTGGCCGCCGGCTGGAGTTCTACTGCCGGAGGGCTCAGTGGTTTCAGGGGGACTGTTGGTGAAGCGTCTGTCCGCTTGGTTTCTGTCTCTGGTGCCAACGAAGGATCTTTAAGTGGCTCTGATTCGACGAGGTCGATGGCCGAGTCTCGCTTCGGTTTGTTCAAAACAGCTGATTCAGCGTCTCCTCGCTCCATCACCTGGGCTGACGGAGGCTGTTGGGGTTCTTTGTTGGGGTAGGACTCCGATAGAGAGTCAGTCCGGTCTTTAGCCGTCTCATCTTCCAGAAGCAGCAGCGGCTCTGATTGGTCCACGTGAATGGACTGGGAGTCCATATCGCCTTCGTCTTCCTCCGGCACCACCTCAAAGCCGCTGGTGGACTCAGGCAGGTCCCAGCTCAGCGTGTACACGTCGGACAGCGTGGCCGGAGACATGTACCCGCTCGATGGGCTGGGGGAGGACTCTTCTGCCTCTGGGATGATTGGCGGCGGGAGGGGGACGGATCTGGGGGTCTCGCGTTGGAAATCCAGAGGAATGATTTCCTCAATGGGAACCTATGAGGACAACGAAGGTGTTGGTGACTCAACGTGCAGCAGAAGGCCAAATCCCTGCAGCAAAGCGTTGACTAGATAACCGACATCAGCAGATATGAAACAACAGTCCAGCTGGAAAAGGTTTTGGTCTCTAACATCTCCCTAAAGAAACATCTGGCTCCTAAGAGCTTCACAAGCTAGTTGCTAACTATTGACCACGAGATGGAAACATCAGAGTTGTGAGACGTCAAACCCCAAAAATGAGCCAAAGTCCCTCAATACGGCTGAGATATATTTGATATATTGTATTCTACATTTTAGATCACAAAGTCTTTCCGTGCATTATAAAATATGGACTCTGGAGATCTGCACGTGACCTCACGTGTGTGTGCAGAACTTACTGACTGCTGATGTTTGCTCAAGTCCTCGTCCACGCTGGCCGATTGCACCACGATGCGAGGAACCTTCTGACAGAGGAAACACATGTTGGCTTAATGACACAAATATAAAACCGGCGGCGAAAGCTTGTCGAGCACATTTAATACTCATTTAGGTCCGTAGAGTTCCACACCTGCTCATCAGGCATCACGGGGCAGAAAAGTGCTGCTCTCTCCGACGGCCTCACAGAATACACAACCAACTCAGTGAACGTACAACAATTCAGGAGGATCATTTGCCTCTCGTGCGTCACTCCGGGGGGGTTGTCCCTCTAATTTATCTGAGCATCTGAGATTGACAGTTGGATTTGGGTGCTTTGGCAGAGAGTCTATCTGCTACACTCGGTGTCGACCTTTCCAAACATCTGGAGAGAAGTCGCTCATTACACAACGAGGCTCCCACGGATTTCCGCCCCCCCCCCGGGCGCCGGGCCACACAATCTGGCTGATTAGCTTCCCCTGATTGGCGCCGGGTGCCAATCAGGCGGCGCGGTGTTCGGCTCCCCATCAGCACGTGATTGGAGGTTGGTGGATGCAGAGAGCTGCTCGTGTCAATCACTAAGCCGGTTGCTTCCAAAGGAGCAAAGTTCATAACACAAAGCAACGAAAGATTGTAAATGTAACATTATATGCGTTGGTTTTTAAAATGATCTCATCTGATCATCTGATCAATCAAGTAAAAAAATAATGAATTAAAAACATGATGAGGTTGTGCACTTGTCACCTCAAACTTCTGAAAGCTGCTTCAGGCACTGAGGCACTTCTACACTTCATCTGTCTGTCGCTTGTATTTCCATAAGCTCTGTTTCCATGACAACGCAGAGACTAGCTGATGAGGATATGCAGATTGATGCTGCAGTGATGCATGTTGTGTGCAGAACACACTGAATGCCTACCTGCTGATGATTGACAGCTGTCTGGTCCCCACCAGGAAGCAGAGACTTCAGCAGCATCGGCACGGCCTTCACTGGGGGGACACACGATGCAGCAAAGCCTGAATGCACTGACGGAGGTGTGAGAAAAGCAGGAGGTGCAAAGAAAAGAAAGGATATTTTTGAAGCAGCGAGGGGGGGGTTGAGGTGGCAGATCAAGATTCAGAGGAGAAGGACTCATGAAGTTGTCCACAGGCTGAGGACATCAGAGGGGTTGCAGTCCTACCGGTCTCTGGGTTCAGGTGGTGGGAAATGGAGCTGGGCAGCGTGCGTCTAGATGACGGAGGCACAAAAGAAAGGTCCTGGTGGCTCTCCCAGCCCTGCGCACGCACGCACACGCACACACACACACACACACACACACACACACGCACACACACACAAACACACAAACGCACACACACAAACGAGCACACACACACACACACACACACACACACACACACTTACTTTAAGGACCATCTCATGAATCTGTGACCTTTAACAGCCTCTAGTGGTGACCAGTGAGAACTGAAAAACACACAAGCTCATGGATAGACGTCCATCTTTCCAGCTCTAGATCCGGATCCAGATCCATCCAGCTTATTTGGCTCTAGAGACGGATCTAGAAAGCCGGTTCTGGATCTAGAAAGCCAGATCTAAATCCAGATCCAGAAAGCAGCTCTATAACCGGATCCAGAGAGCCGGATCTAGAGCTGGCTTTCTAGCTCCGGATCCAGGGAGCCAGCTCTAGATCCGGATCTAGAGAGCCAGATCTAAATTCAGATCCAGAGAGCCAGCCCTACAGCTGGCTTTCTAGCTCCGGATCCAGATCTGAATCCAAATCTGGAACCGGACCTAGATAAAGCCAGATCTGGATCTAGATCCGGATCGATAGATAGATCTAGATCTTTATAGATAGAATACCACTTCTTAGGAATTGCTGTTCTCTCTGGGTTTTGAGTTGTTCCGAATATTTAGGTACGAGTTAGGTATATTTTTCCGAACAGGCCGAGCACAGATAGTTCCTCGTTCCAGTGAATCCACTGATCTGCGTGTCTAGTCTCTATTATGAGAAGCAGAAAACAACAGAGAGAAAAGCAGAACTCGAGCATGTGGAGATAGAAAGCAGAGGATTAGTGGACGTGACTTCTCACCTTGAAGCCATTGAGCCTGTGAGGAGAGTAGAGATCCAGACTGCTGGCTGACAGCTGGTTAGATGTTAGAGCAGGAGTGAGACGGGTTAGCGCCCAGCAGAAAGGAGCCCACAGTTATGCACTCGGACTTCAGGTCTCTTACCCGGTTGACGCTCGGCGAGCTCCGGCAGCGCCTGGACGCTTTGCTGCTGACTGCCAGCTGTTCCTTCACAGCCACCTCCTGCGCGCACAAACAAGCACACAAGTGCGTCACTATCACAGTTTCTTTATTAGAAGGCTTTGTGTTACGGTTTCTGTCAGGATGGAAAGGAAAATGGCTGTGGATGATTTTATCCCCTCAAATGAAATAAGCCAGAACTGTTAAATGAGAGTGAACGTGTGTCCATGCGGTCTGTGTCCGGACCTGTCTGAGTCTGTCCAGAGTGAGGACGTTCTCCACGGTCAGGACGCTGCGCAGGTATTTCTCTATGGCCGCCTCGCTGTCGGCGGACTGGTCATCCTCGGTGCTGGCGGCCAGCCTGGCCAGCATCTCCCGGTCCTCCGGGCCGTGGATGTCCTGTGGGGACAAGGCGGGGCTTAGTGGCCAAAAGGCACAGCATTCATCCACGGCTGGTTAGTCAGTAAGCAGAGACAACGCAGCCCATTAGGCATCGTGTTCCACAGCCTGACCATCGTGTCCTGCATGATGCTTTCCTCCAGCAATGCACAATAAACCCCTCTCTCGTGTCTGAGGTCCCTTTCCAGAAGAAATGATGTTGTCTGTGTTGACTTGGCGGCGTGGTACCTACGCCTGGGATGTTGGAAACGATCTCAAAGGTGACTCCACAGCCGGGGATGCTGCTGCGCTGAGACATCCTCTTCAGGAGGCTCTGGGCGAAACCCTGCCACACAGACGCATCGTCTCAAATCAACGGCCGGCTCAGGGAGACGCGCCGTTGCTCCTTCCCATCATGCCCTGGGGCCACCCACCTGCCTCCCGCTGACGTTGACGCAGACGCGCTTCCTGAGCACCAGCTGCATGTAGGCCGGGTGGCTCAGCTGGACCAGCGCGCTGACCGTCAGGTACACCCTCTGGTCGCCCGCCGCCGACGCCGCGCGACTCAGCTGGGGGCACTCGTGGACTGTCGAGTCCCAGGAGGCCTCCGCCTTCACCTGGAGGAGCACGTCCACAAGCAGGGGGGGGGGGGGCGTTCATAACATCAGAACTACAGAGAGAGACTAGATGAAATAGCTTTGGTTTCATTTTTGATGTTTAATGTTTAGATGGGATTCTCAACAAATATTTCAATTGGTACTAGTAAGAATACTGCTGTTAACACACCTTATTTATGTAAATGAATCGATTATAAATTGTAATTTTTGTGCACCAGTAATTTTATATATATATATATATATATATAAATATATATATATAAATATTTTATATATATATATATAAATAAATATTTATTTATATATATATAAAATATTTATATAAATAAATATATATATATATATAATATTTATTTATATATATATAAATATTTTATATATAAATAAATATTATATATATAAATAAATATTATATATATATATATAAATAAATATATACTTATATATAAATAAATAAATATATATTATATATAAATAAATAAATAAATATATTATATATATACATATTCTAAATAATATATATAAATATACATTATTTGAGATATTATATATAAATCGATGTATTGGTTAGACCGTGTGTACTTGGTATTAGTCACATTACCTCTGGGTCATAGTGTTTGACAATGTGAAGGTCAAAGAAGTCGTCCTCCTCCTCCCCACTGAGCAGCGCGTCCATCCCCCCCGCCAACGGGGCCGGCAGACTGGACTGGAAATCGTCAGCTGCAGGGGAAACCAGAGGGAAGGAGGCGGGTTCTTTATTATGATTGACTGGCTATGAAGCGTGGAGGGATCGTGAGGAGAGACGCACCGCTGAGGTCCAGGAACAGGACCGGAATGTGCGTTTCCATCCCGGGCGCAGGGACCCTGTGGAGACAGAGGACGGTCAGCGACACACGAGGTCGAGTGGTGTGAGATAAATCCAGAGGAGATAAATAAGAGCTGCGGTTATAGCGAATCCTCATATGACCGACTCTCCACAGAGCAGCACGTTGGGTCACGGTGCTGAAACGCACCTCTGCACCGGCGCTCCGGGGATGCCGCTGCCAGCCGCCGGCACGAGAACGGCGTTGCGTTCTTCGGTTAGCGTGAGGCGACACTCCAGCAGCTGGGACTCCCTCTCCACGTCGTCCTCAGACTTATCTGATACGAGAGGAAACCATTCAGAACGCACAGGAAGGATGAGCGCGTTCTCCTTCTGTGGGACTTTCCACCGCTGTACCTGCTTTGCCAACGATCTTCTGCAGGTGCTGGTCCAGGTACTCCTGCCTCTGAGTGAGCATGTGCAGCCAGTGCGCCCTCAGCCGCTCCAGGTCCGCCTCCTACGCACACGCACACGCAGTTACTCCGTGACGGCAGGCGGTCACGCGTCTTGCTTTCTGCTGGTTGATGCACTTACCTGGTAGCTGTCCATTTCTTCATCCCCACCCTGACGTTTCAGACAGAACCAATTAGACAATAGATAAAAAAATACGGTATTTGAGTCAGATATTAAATAAGTTTTTCAATTTCCTACAAGAGAAACAGAAAAAACACTCCAACACAAACCTGTTGTGATTCTTTGGAGATCGGTCGGACTTTAACGTCTCCGATGGACACGGAGACGATGGAGGCAGCGACGAGGGGCATGGTGCCCGAGTCCGGTACGGAGCGGACCTCCACCTGGACACGACGGGACTGACCCTGAGGGGGGGGGGGGTCACCAAACAAGACACCAACAGGTTTCTTCAGTCGACAGGAAGTGGAGACGGAAAACCCAACCAGCGAACCGCAAATACAACAGGCGAACATCCACCACACCTGTCTGAGCTGGAAGACTCCTCCTGTGCGAACGTCTTTGGCAGGAAGCACCTCTACGGCTGTGAACTCTCCCGCCTCGTTCAGCTCCATCAGCTGAACCCAGAGCTCCAGGTGTCGGGTCACCTCGCTCCACCTGCGCGCACACGTCGGTGAGTTCCTGCAGTACGCGGAGAGGCAGCGCGGCAGCAAAGCAACGTGCAGAATAATGTACATCTACAACGATGCCATCAGCCATCATCTCTGCTCTCCTCAAAGCCACCGGACTTCTTGGACTACAGCGTCCTCTGACCTGACGGAGCAGCGAGCTGCTGTGGATCCCAACTCGTCCTCTAAAGACCCGAGACCACCAACACCAGGTGTGTGTTTGTTCACCTCTCTCGCAGTGTGCGTGTCTTAGCCTGGATCACGCCGAGGTCCCACAGCGCCAGGTTCCTGCGGTGGTTGGCCTGCTTGTGGCCGTACACCTCGATGGCCACTGCCCCCTCGGACAAGTACTCCAAAAAGTCCTCCGACACCGGCACAGAAAACTCCTTTGGGAAGGAAGAGAGGTTTTCATCTCACGCGTCTGCTGCGTTCGCTCAGCACGCGGGACCCTGCGAGCTCGAGAACGTCACCTTGGTGCTGTCGAAGACCACGGTGCACTCCGGGTCTGTGGGGGAGGACGAGGAGCACGGCTGCATATCCGGAGCGATGAACACTGACTCCTCCTGCCCCCAGAAGTGGTACTGACAGAAGACGAAGTTGGACAGGTGGCGAGGCAGACCGGCGGCGCGCAGGATTTTCACCTGGGGGGGAGACGACAAGCGGAAAGGGTCTCACCTACGAGAAGATACGCTGGTTCCTCCAGGGAAAGAGCCAGAGGGAATCAATGACTCTTCATCTGGAGCCACTTCCTCTCACTCGAGCCGAGCAGATGTTGCGTCTAACACCAGTTGGACGCCTCGTTTCTAACCGGCACCACGTTAATGAAGCCACGTCTCACCGCACAGTGCAGCCGCCGCTCCTCTGGGTTTCCGTCCGTGTCGCTCTGCTGGGGGTCAGACGCCCCCGGACCTCCCTCCTCGTGGCCGTCTGTCCGCCGCCACACCTCCACGTGGAGCCGACCCGCCACCTGGCAGCACACAGAGCAGCAGCCCGTCAGCACGCCGCTCTCTCTTGGGCCCGATCAGAGAACGCGGCTACACCCCACTGGTCACCGGACCAAGATGGGGAGATTCTGCTCCATTAAACCGGCGCACCGCGCTGCACTGACCTCCCCCTTCTGGTTGATGACGGGCACGGCGTATTGCAGCCTGACGTCGTGGAACAGGCAGGCGAGGAAAACGTTCGCCACTCCGATCAGACTGTGGTTCTCCTGTTCATCGAAGAACGGGTCGGCGCGCTTGAAGTAGGAGCGCATCACCTGGGACGCAGAGGACGAGCGAGAACGGGGAGGGAACGAAGATCACGGAGGTAAATGTCCCGTTCGACTGAACACATTGGCTCCGTTTGCGTCTGCAGGCGGTTTGTTCGCTGCGCCCGTTCTGCTTCCCGCCGTTCAAGCATTTAAGCGACCAGGGAAGCAAGGTGTCATACAGGTACTCGACTCTGTGGACTCACTGGGTTGTCTTCATCAAAGTCCTTCCACTCCTGGTAGAGCTCCCTCATGTCCACCAGCCTGTTCTCCATCTTCTCCAAAGCCCAGATCTGCTTCCCTTTACCTTTACGGCGAACCTGGACGGCCGGCTCACTCAAAACTACGTCTCGCTGTGGAGGGAGAGGAGCTGTGAGGAGTTACAGGACTTAGACATGATCGAGGCCGTATGGTCACTAGAAGGCCAACGTGTCCCGTTTGTCTTATTGAATACCTCAACGCGGCGTCAGACTTGAGCGTGTGTTTGTCTGTGAGACGCACCTTCCTGTTGGCGTCCAGGTTGGCAGCAGGTATCTGCAGGGTGACCAGGTACTCCGTCCTCTTGCTCATCTCCTCGCCAATGAAGCCGGCCTCCTGTGCCAGCAGGTTGGCGCGGACGATCTGCTCCCTGAGGCGCCGCAGGCTGCGGGTCATCAACGCCTCTCTGCGCCGCAAACGCAGAACAAGTTTGACCAAAAAGCGTCGCCTCCTGCCCTCGGGGGGGAGGGGGGGGGGGGGGGAATCCTTGAAAGTCTCGCACGCGGCTTCAGCTCACCGGTCCTCGCTCCAGCGCCGCGCGCGCCGCGGCGGGCCGGCCGAAGGGCCCGCGGTCTCGGGCCGCTCCGGCGCCAGCCGGCGGCGCAGGTGCTGCAGCTCCTCTTCGTACATCTGCCTCTGGCGCTCCAGAGCGCAGCGCTTCTCCTCCTCGTGCTGCCTCTCGAGGGTCTGTAACACCGCCTGCAAAGGGTCTGAGGGGGAGGAGCCGGAGCGTGAGGAGCGTTTCTCCTTATGGGAGGAGAACGCGGTGCTCCTCCTAAAACGTATAAGGCGTCTACCGGCTCTGAGGCCCCGCTCACCGTTGTGGCCCATGCCCTTCATCATGACTTCGGCCCGAGCGAACTCGTAGCCGCAGCTCAGCTCGCTCGACGCGTCGCTCGCCGCGTCGAAGTCCACCTCCAGCCGGTCTGTGCTCAAACACGTCTTCATGGCGCCGCCGCCGTCCTCGTCCCCCGCGTGGACCATGTGTCTCGGCAGGTTGATTCTGCACGTGTCCACGGGGGGCGGCGGCCGGATGCGAGACAGCGAGGGATGGGAGAGAGAGAGAGAGAAGAGGCACAATCAGAAGTCTGCACTCGGGACCCGTTTGAGGAAATGAAACGGGATCGTGAACGTGACGGACCTGAAGAAGTGGTTGTTGCCCCACAGGATGCGGTCGCCGTGGTGAAGCTGCACGGGGCTGAAGACGGCAGCACCGTTCACACACGTTCTGCAGGTGGAAGAAACGGACGTGACGACACGTGGCGGTACGACCAATACGAGTGTGTGTTCTCACCAGCTGCATGTTGGTGCTTTGGCAACACTGTTTTTACGCTTGTATCGTGCTAATAAAGCCACGTCGATTTTTCCGGGTTGTGTTTATTTCCTTTTTTGTTCTTTTGGCTTCAGTCGATGAAAGAAATGCTTTGTGGCACAAAGGGATGTGAGCGATCACAGTAAATGTCCTTTTTAATACGTGTGTCCAAACACTGAATGTATTGTGTGGTGATTAAACGCGTGTGCGTTTCGGGGTGTGAGATGGTCGGCAGTCGAGCGGCGCTGCCTCGGTTACAGGTGAAGTCTTTACGAACAGACACGAGAAGGTTCAGAGATATCGATCAAACGCGGCGGCGGTTCGGTGCGCACCGAGCGTTGCCGTGAGGCCCGAGCACCACGCCGTCGTCCTCGCCGATGTCGATGACGCAGTGCTCGGCTTGGATGGCCATCCCGCACAGCTGGATGTCCTGCGAGTCGGCCGAGCCCACACGCGTGTGCTCCTGGGACCACAGAGAGGACACGGTTACCACGTGCGCGCGTTTCATTGTGCGCGCCGCGGTGCGCGTCCAGTACCTTCAGGTAGTAGACCAGCAGCTCGTTGAGGGCGGGGTCGGCGTTCAGGTTGACCAGGAAACACTTGTCGTCCACCACTCGGATGCCGGAGGACTGCAGGGAGATACCCAGACTCTCCAGCTGCCTCTGCCGCTCCTGCAGGAAGCACAAATCATGCGTATTTAACACGTGAACGGATCGGCTGCTTCTTCTATTCCAGGAAATGTGAGGGTGGAGAGAGAAGGAGCGGAGAACGCTGGGGAAATACCTCCACGCTGAATCACATATTTCAACCTGGACCCGACTCGGGGTGACTAATGGAGGGCGAGACCCGGTGCTGAGGCAGAGCTCAGACACACGATGCGATGGTCTGCAGCTCAACTGGAGGGATCTGTTGTGGCTCACGTTGTTCCACTGAGTCCAAACTGAGAAATGAAAACTTGATTTTCCTCCCTCGGGCAAAGAGTCGCATCTCGCTAGATTTCAGAATCCCAAATGCTTTTACCCGACGGGATCACACGGCGGCCCACTAAGCGTTGTCCCTCAACAACAGCTGCTTCTGTCGCTGGCAAAGCGCCGGGGAATAAGGCCCAGCGCGGAGGACACAGAGGGCGTCAATCTGATTCCTACCCGATTAAACGGAACGAGCTGTAAGTTCAGTTTGAGGCAGAAGAGGTTAAACTGATGAGGCGTGACCTGCGCAACGGCCTCGGTCTTCGTCAGCTTGTCCTCCCAGGTCACCGTCATCTCCTGGATCAGCTTCTCGGACTCCTCCAGCCGGTCCTTCAGCTCGGGGGCCTTCATGGACTGAGGGGGACAGAAGCCGCGTCAATACTCCTCGCACATCGACGCCGGCCTTCCTTCCTTCCTCCAGTGCCCACGCGGCGATGCCGACCTCGGCCTCCGTGAGCTGCTCCTTCAGCTTCTCCACCTCCTCGCGCAGCTCTCGGATGATCCTGGCGTTGGGGTCCTCGTTGACGACGGCGTGGTTGACGATGCTCTTGGCCCGGTCGGCGTAGCGCAGGGTGGACAGGGTCTCGTCGTAGTTGTCCGCCGAGGGGCTGATGGTGGCGACCATGGCCGTGCGGCTGTTCCCCCCCAGGCTGTCCTGCAGGTAGAGACCATCCCAAACCGCTCAGTGGACAAAACACCAGAAACTACGCAGAGGCTCCATGAGCCTGCTGACTTCATTAAAGTAGCTCCACACTAGAAGGATAGAAGTGCGTGTGGAGGTCAGATGAGGAGATCTGTGTGGACCTTGAGCAGCCAGGTGAGCACAGAGTCTCTGTAGGGAACGAACTTGCTCTTGTTCTTCCCTCCTCCCTGGTCAGCCAAGGCAGAGATAACCAAGCCCAGAGTGCTGAGGGACCTGGAGGGAGGCAGGGGGGGAGGGAGGGGGGGAGAACGAGCTGGTGTTACAGAAGGAAACCGCGTCCCAGATGAACGCAGCCGGGTCGCCTCGCCCAGCTCCCGTTGGCTCACTTGTTAATGTTGCTGCCTTCTTTGAGTCGCTCGCCCGCCGCTCCGGTCTTCGCCGCCCGCTCGCTGCCAGCCAGATCCACCAGGCTCAGCTTGCTCACCTTCTCCCCGCTGGTCCGGAGCACAAATGCACATCATGTTAAACTTTGGTTCTGGAGAAAGCTCCGCGGGGACCCGGCGTGGAGGTGTGAGTGGGGACGGTGAAGGGGGTCCGGGGGGGACGAGGTTCTATCGCCGCAGCAGATCAGCGGGGAGGAGCAACGTGCTGCGCTGGACCAGATCAATACTCTACATTTAGAATGCGTGCACCGCCTCACCCCTCCGCCAGACTCCCTATCAGGCCCGACGCGCTTATCTACGCTCTATTTTGAGCCACGGCCTCCTCGCCTGCAGCTGCCTCGGCCATTTTGTTTGTTTGTGGCCCCGTCGGCGTCTCGGAGGTTTGGTTCTAATGAGTCAGAGAAACGCCTACAAAGGAACCGAGGCCACGGCCGGTAAAAGGACTGACACAGCGGCGACCAGAAGGAAGCGAACAGCCAACGGCCCCTTTCAGCCGTTCTCCCATCGCGACCTTTGCAGAGACAACAGGAAAGCCAGCAGGGTGCCGAGGTGACCTGAAGGTGAGCGGACTCCTGGTTCAGCCACCAGCAGAAGCCAGTCATTTGTTTGTCGTCGGCCATCGTCACACGCATCGCTCTCCTGGCGGCCGCGGTCTGAGTCACTGATGGCCGACGTACCTCGGACCGGAGGTCCGTGAGGGTGTGCGTGAGGATGATGTTGAACACGGCGTGGGATCTGCTGCTCTCCTCGTTCATGTTGGTCGCCGCCACCGTGCGAGATTTATTCCCCTCCGACATCAGAGACTCGATGTCCTGCCAGAGACAGAAACACGCCGCTTTAGACGGAGATAACTGGCGCCCCGGTTGTTGTTGGCGGCGGGTTCGACGCGACGGACCTTGTAGCAGGACACCGCCAGGCGCGCCAGGCCGTCCACGTACGGCCCCATCACCTTGTGCTCCCTCACTCGCAGCGCTTGTCGATGTCTGCAGAGAAGAGACGCTGGTTAATCCCGTTCGTCTCAAACGAAACTGCTCCTCGAAATACAAACGCTTGTTTTACTGGGTGGCTCCCGTGGCGCCCAAACAACACGTAGGAAAAGTCCAATAATTAAGTTTAGTACAGTTATTGAGAACGATGACAAAATGTGGACGTTAAATTACCTTTTTTCCCCACGACTGAGTGTAGTTTGAAAAATGAGTCTTTCTTCTCAAAACCCTTCCTCCACCTCCACCTCCTCCATCACCCTCACATGGAAACTTAACCTTCAACCCTTCATGATGATCCACTGAGCGCTTCAATGGAGGAACTATTCTTTCTCACCAATCCGCACATGCAAACATGTCACCGTGCACCAGGCGTGTGCGCCGGGGGCCGTTTGGAGAGAAAAAGGGTCCTACATGAAAGCTCCTGCAACGAGGTGTGTGGATCATCTCGAGTCACCAGGAGATGATTACTGGAGGCTGATGCACAGCGCTGCAGACGATCGGAGTCATGGCAGCTCCAACGAGATACGCTGCTACGTTCTGCATCGTGTGACGCGCGCGACCTCCTGCCTTTCAGGTCACCGTGAGCAAACGGTTGGCTCACCCTTTGGGGTCGAGCAGGTCTCGGACCTTCTCGTTGTAAATCTCCATGTAGGAGACCTCCACGGTGAAGCACTCTCCCTCGCGGGCCTCCGCCACCGTCCTGCTGAACAGGGAGCTGCAGAGCCGGGGGATCAGACCGGGCTGCTCCGCCGAGCCCATCATGGTGTACGACTTCCCAGAGCCTGCAGTTCACACGGCAAAACATCAGGACACAAGACCCGGGAGAAACAAACAGATGGACCAGCTCCCTGAGGAGTTAGCATCGCTGAGAGAGACACTGTGAGAGGAGCGGATCCACCAGGCGTCCAGGAACCAGCAGCGGACTCGGGTTCGTGTCACCTGGTTCAAAGCGACTTGCCTGTCTGTCCGTACGCCACGATGCAGGCGTTGTAGCCCAGGAAGGCGTTGTCCAGCAGGCTCTCCCCGAGGCACTGGAACACCACGTCCTGACCTTCACACACAGCAACAACTCTCACTACTTAGCACCAACGTGTGGAGGGAACATCTAGCACATCGGGAAGAGACGGCCCGCCACCGCACCGGTTTGATCCCGCTACAATACGCAGGGCCCATGTGGAGGTGAACAGCGAGCAGCCGCAGGGTCACTTTCCTGGACTGATATCATAACGTAAATAGTTCAGTCTGTCCGGAGACATCAAGTCCCTCTCAAAAAGGTCCAAACGCAGAGAGGCAGCTGGTGAGAACTGACCTGCAAACTTGTCCTTCTGAGCTTCATCTATGGACCAGAAGCAGTGGTCATAGGCGAAGACCTGAGGACGACACACACGCACAAGATTCAAGACACCTCCTGCAGGGACAGCAGGTAAAAACATCTGGAACAAACCGGTTTAGTTTGGTACTCACCTTTGGCTGATTTCTGAGGGAAACCGAAAGAAGAAAAAACACAACATCAGCTGACAATTGGTGCTCGAATGAAACATGAACGTGTCAACAGGTATTTTTACTCTCCGTCTCGCTCCGTCACCGGCGTGTGGATCCTCACACCGGAGGAGCAAACACATTCATTACACCAACACTAAGCATTAAGGATGCATTCATAGATAATGACGCAAAGTAAAGTCACGTTTCCTTAAATAGGAGTCAGCTCAGTCAGTGTTGAGTGAGTCAGTGAGCTGCTTCCCAGTGGAAGATGTTAAACGCAGGCGGTGTTCGTCCCTCCACCCGGCTTGGGCAGCTCTGGACCCCCGATCCTGTGCTCGCTGCTGGTCTGACCTGCAGGCCAGAGGCTCCTACCTGGCGTCAGTCGCTAGTTATAGTTGGTGTTCTGATACCTCTGGGAATAGATCTTTTTAAAACACTAATGTATTAAAGTCGTAAAGTCAATTTCCTGTATTTAATGGAGGCCTTGGAGGAGAAGGACTGTTTACCACTCTGCAGATGCAGCACGGCCTGAGAGCTGCGATGAGCACTTCTCATGGACTATGAGTGCCTACAATCGGTTTACATCCACCGCTCTGCACAATATCACCACCCATTCACTCCATTAGAGCAAAACGCTCAAGTTACATTACAGGTCATTCAGCCGACGCTTTTACGGAAAAAGACCAGCAAGAACACACGGAACAAGCTGAGACGACCCCCATCAAAGCCGGAGGAGTAAGACGAGTCCCAAGAACACAAGACGAAGGTGCTCAATAGTAACAAAGACTCTAAATCCGTCGCGGTCGGCTCCTGTGACTCATTGTGACTCGAGTGCAATGTGACGGGGCGCCTCGGACCTCGGAGCCTTCTGGTGTCCCTGAGACGACAGACGACTCACCGAGGACCAACAACACGCTGCTTGTTGGGCTCGTCCCACTGCAGGAAAACAACAGCTTCCCACTGCGGCAGTCAGCCAGAACGAATTCCAGCAAGCACACGTCAAATTCAATTATCGAGCATGTTCCAGTGCAGCTCCGAGGTCTCCGCATCCTCACTTCTACTCGTGGAACGGTTGTTCAATGGCACACAACAGGTCACATGACTCCTTGTATGCAGAAAGGGTCCCTTCAGCTGATGAGCCAGGAGGTTACTTTTGGTTATGAAGACTGAAAATAATGTGTAACTTAAACTTGGATTCTCGACTGTAGGGGCGACTCCTCTGGTCCTATAGACGTCTATGGGGAAATGACCAATTCTCTGTAGTGACCAGTAGGGGGCGACTCCTCTGGTCCTATAGACGTCTATGGGGAAATGACCAATTCTCTGTAGTGACCAGCAGGGGGCGACTCCTCTGGTCCTATAGACGTCTATGGAGAAATGACCAATTCTCTGTAGTGACCAGCAGGGGGCGACTCCTCTGGTCCTATAGACGTCTATGGGGAAATGACCAATTCTCTGTAGTGACCAGCAGGGGGCGACTCCTCTGGTCCTATAGACGTCTATGGGGAAATGACCAATTCTCTGTAGTGACCAGCAGGGGGCGACTCCTCTGGTCCTATAGAGTCTATATTTGCTACCTTCTGTTTGCTGGTTGCAAAAAGCAAAGGATGCAAAGCTTCTAAACTACAATCCCTGGGGAAACCGTGACTACGTCCACGTCAAAGTTTACGAGAGGACACTGATAGAGACTAGGGCTGCAACAACCGAATCGATAAAAATCGATTCGTTGTGTCACGCGATTATTACGTCACTCAATGTAAGTCGCTTTGGATAAAAGCGTCTGCTCAATGACCTGTAATGTAAATAAAACTAAAAAAGTGTTCGGTTTTAGAATAAAGGGTGAAAATTAAAGCTCTTATGCGTTTTTTTTAATCCGATTAATCGAAGGAAAAAAAGAATTGACCGATTAATCGATTATCAAGATAATCGTTAGTTGCAGCAGTAATAGAGACTCTGCTCTACATAACTCACGTTTTAGTTTTTCAAGCCCAATTTACTGAGTTAGTTCACTCACAGCTGTTTCAAGCTGAACGAGGCAGCTTTTAGCTACAAGAAGCAAAGTTAGCTACTAGCTTTGTAAACCTGTAATAATGTTCTGCAAAACAAACTGTGAAAGGTTCCCTGCAGGAGGCCCAGCCTCCAGGGTGATGCTAGTTCAGACTGCGGCAGTTAGTCCAGGACGTCCAACCACCCAACAATCTATTCAAGTTGGCCAGCAAAAATGTCTAAATGGGATAAACACAGATCGTAATCTTTGTTTTCATAATAATCTACCACACTTAGGTTGAGGAACCCAGTCTCCAGGGACGCCCCCCTTCAGACGGGGAACCATACAAAAACAGTTTTCACTGGGGCAGAGAGATCAATCTGGGCTTTAGACAAGAAAGGCTGCAAATGAAGTTGCGCAGCGGGCTGTAATGAAACCAGGCCTCCCTACCGTGGGGACTTGGGCCCCTCCATGAAGGAACAGCCACGAAGTCCTCTCCTGGGCTGGTGAAGGACATTCC